AAGATGTTTTATAAAAGAAAAACATTATAATATACTTTTGTTTCTTCTTTTCTTTTTAATGTAGTCTAAGAAAACACTGCACATTAGTTACCTTTGTAATTCTTTCCCCACAGGCTGCTTTGTATCGCCTCAGTGGAGACTGGAATCCCTTACACATTGATCCTAATTTTGCTGTCCTAGCAGGTGAGTTGCTAATAAATGCATTGTTGTCAGTAGGTGCTGTTGAGTCCAGTCTGACTTGTATCGACCCTATGTACAACAGGATAGAAAACTACCTAGTCCTGTGCCATCCTCAAATAATTGTCATGTTTGAGAATAATTGAGCCCATTGTTCCAGCCATTGTGTCCATCCATCTTGCTGGGGGTCTTCCTCTTTTTCGTTGACCATCCACTTTACAAAGCATGATGATCTCTTCTGGGACTGACCCCTCCTAGAAACATGCCCAGAAGTCTTGCTGCCTTCACTTCTAAGGCACATTCCTGCTGTACTTCTTCCAACACAGATTTGTTGGTTCTTCTGGACAGTCTGTGGCACTTTCAATATTCTTTGCTAACACCATAATTCAATATCTCAATTCTTCGATTGTCTTCTTTATTCATTGTCCAACTTAAACATGCATATGAGGTGACTGAAAATACCATGATTTGGGTCAAACACGATGTCTTGGGTCAGGCGCACCTTATTCCTCAAACTGATGTCTTTGATCTTGAACACTTTAAAGAGGTCTTGTGCAGCAGATTTGCCTAATGCAATACATCTTTTGATTTCTTGATTGCTGTTTCCATGAATGTTGGTTGTAGATCGAAGCAAAATGAAGTCTTTGACAACTTCTGTCTTTTCTCCATTTATCATGATGTAGTTTATTTGACTAATTGTGAGGATTTTTATTTTCCTCATATCGAGGTACAATCCATACTGAAGGCTATTTTCTTTCATTTTTATCAGTAAATATTTCAAGTCCTCAATGGAAACAGAGAATAGTGGGATATCTATAGATTCATATATCCCACAAATATATGAGTGTGAAAGAGAATATATGTACATGAGTACTTACCTTTCATGCAAACACAACAAGGAATGTGGTGGAGCATACAGCAGGCAACATGATGAAATACTCCTAGATATTATCTGACGTCTTAAGGCAATCAGTTGATGGCCTGGGGGCTTAGGGCCAGTCTCAGGGGACACCATATTCAATTGGTATAGCATAGTCCACAAAACCATGTTCTACATCCTGCTTGAATGAGTAGCATCTGAGATCTTGAAAGCTAATATGCAGCTATTGATCTTGCCATGTACAGTGGAGAGAACAGGGATAAGAATTGAAGAGGCTTGGAAACAATGAGTCCAGTGGACTGATGAAACATATGAACATCAGTTTCCTCAACTCTGAGACCAAGAGAACTAGATGGTACCTGACTACCAACTGCTCTAAAAGGGATCACATTGGAAGATCTTAGATAGAAATGTGGAGCAA